ATTTAGCTGATATTTTGCTGGATGGCTATGTCAAACAGCTGCAGTACTTACGGTAAATCTTTTTGTAGCAAGTATGTTAAAAATGCCCCTATCATTTTTTGTTCTCCATAACGAATGATCATATCCTCATAACCTGTTTGTTTGTTTGTTTGTTTTTTGTTGTGTTTGTTGCAATGTAGGTATTTGTAATTGAATTTCAGAAACTGTCCAGGAATGAAGAGTCGTTTTGATGAAGTCAATCAGGAGTTTGAACAAGACAGAAGGATTGTTATTTTACCCTTAGGTAATGTTTTGATGCTGCTCTCCTGGCTTTCTGCTCGTGATGATGATGATGATGATGATGATAATGATAATAACAATGATAATAGTAATGATGGTAATAATAATAGTAATAAATAAAAGTAATTATAATAACGATAATAACAACAACAACTATGATGATTTTTATAATAATTTTTGTGATAAGGATACTAACAGTCTTGTTGCTGTGCTCAGTTCATCAAGGTCAGAGGTCACACGCAACGTCCCTTGCAGAGAAGTATCACGACTTTGGGGTTTTAATTGAACTGTGTGAAACATCTGGTGAACAAGGGACTCTGCAAAAGTACATGACACAGTTTACTGATCAGGTAGGTATGTCAATCAAACCTCCCTCAGAGAACGTAAATGACAACTTAAATTCCAAGTGCGTTTTTTGCTGCAAACGCTGGAGTGAAAGCTGAAGATTTTCAAGGCTGAAGAATCCAAAGGCACTGACCTATATGAAGAAATTCAAGTCTTTATTGACTTACGGATTCTCATGTTTGTTTTTGCTTTCAGGGCTTTTCAGATTACGTATTTAAGTGGTATATGGATAAAGGTATGGTAATATTGTATTTTAATGTGGCAGAGGATGTGATTTCGTAGATTAACTTTCACTCATCTCAGACCGGAAAATGTTTTCCTGCAAAACACAAAAAAAAACATTCCAAAATAAAACGCCTACAAAAAATTGATCGCAAACGGTGGTTCAAAGACTAACTTCTTCTTCCAGGAGAGCGTCAAAAGTTGATGACGATACATGTACCTGAACAACAGAACGACGATTTATCGCGATTCCTTTCGTCCCATCACCATTTGTCGTGGCTCCATGACATTCACTTGAAGTCCTTCTATCAGGTGAGTTCCACATCACAATGTTAAAAGAATCAAACGTAATAAAAAAGCTTTTAAAGGAAACCTATACAGTCTTGGACAGTTGTGTCTACGAGCTTGAGATTTCACAGTAGACGCATGCGAAACTGCGAATTTTTTTTGCCGGGCAAAATGCAGTAGCCTTCAATATTAAAAGGGCGTAGTTTTGTACCCAGTAGAATTTCGTCTGCTCTGCGCACCTGAAAGTGACATAACCTATACAGGATATTTGGTTTGATCCTGACTAAAACGAGATTCTTGTTTGTCAGGCACATAGAACTTTGAAGGCTTTGGCGAGCGAGGAGGCGTGTCATTTGGGGAAGAAAAAGGTGTATATTGAGTTTTTTGAGTGACTTTATTCATTCACTTTTGTACAAGTTAACATACTTTTGGTAACCTCTAGCATAAAGAAAATCTATCTTTTTCGCGTGACAACAAAAATTGCATACTTTGTTTTGTTTCTATTATTTGTTTTGTCCAATGAGCATTTTGTTATACACTTTAAATTCAGCTTTATACCTTGTATAAATCAGAACTGAAGATGACAGAAGAACTGTCGAAACACGTTTTTAAAAATGTCGTATATTTTCTTAAATTTCTCTCTTCTTTTTACAAAATGCGTTGTTGATGCATGTGGTTTTGCTTTTGCAGACACTGTTGAGTCTTAGTAAACTGGCTCTTTTAGCATCAGATGAAAACAATGACGCAGAGCTGGAAGGCAAGTGTCAGCCCACGATTGTATACGAACTTCATTTCTCTCTAGCCTGTGGAGAGCCTGGGCTCCCTCTCCCCAACCCTCTCCTCGCCGTTTTTCTTGCCGCTTTCCTTTTCGCCCCTTCTACTATTGCCTGTTCACAGGCTAATTTCCCTCTCACTCAACACACTATATGACACACTTACCCCACCCTCTCACCCCACACACTATATGACACACTCACCCCTCCCTCTCACCCCACACACTATATGACACACTCACCCCACCCTCTCACCCCACACACTATATGACACACTCACCCCACCCTCTCACCCCACACCTTATATGACTTCCCAGATACGAGTTCAAAGGGCGTACTATGAATATGATTTTTAAAAATTACGCCATCGGGGTGCTGGATTGTATTTCTAGACAAATACTCAAGTTCTTGGTGTCCTCGTAAGATCCTTTTTTTTCTCTGGGGATTTATCATGTCAAGGGAGAGCTTCTTTCCAGTTGAGTAATGTTCTTTGTTTGATTTTTTCGATTTTGTGTTTTTTTTTTAGAAATAATCAACGAACATAATATCATACTTCATCAAGAAACACTACCATCTGCAGTGCTACAGGCAAGATAGTTATTGCTAAGTCTCGTGTTTTACCTTATTTATGTGTCAGTGGTAGTTCTAAGTAGTTGTGTCAGCGGTAGTTCTAAGTAGTCAGACAATTTGTTTCGTTTTCTAATAAATATCTTGTTCACCTTTCGTCGGCTATTATTTTCTTTTTAATATTAATTGGTTGTTTTGATAACATGCAAGGTTTAGTCAGTAACATGGAAAACTGCCATCAAGCGTACAGATGTTCGAAATTCTGTGATTTTGCAGTTTTCTTGTTTTGATTGTCATGAATTCTATTATATCTCTTCTCGTAGCAAGCTGGTTTGGACGTAGATTCCATGGCTCCCTTGTCACCATCAGAACTGATCGAGGTAAAGAAACTATATTTATAATTTCACAAAAGTTTTGTTAGTTATTTATTTATGCTCGGAAATATTAAACTAACGATGTTTTACACAAGTGCGCAAAATTTTAAGTAGTTATTCAGGACTCAGGCCTAACAAAATATTGATCAAGTTTGCTTTTTTTTTAGGTATGTTTTTTAACTCTTTATCTTTATTTGCAGCTCCATGTTGGAGATAAAAATACCGGAGCTAATGAGTACGATTTCAAAAATGCTCTGGATATCCTGCATCTTGCCGTACAGGTAATCTTTTTTAATACACTATTTTCGACACTCATCCAGACAATTGTTTCACTATTAGCTTTAGAACTGTCAGAAGTAAATGAATTATAGATCATCCTTTATCCTCAATTAGGCAAAACTTTTGAAAAATGTTAAAAATTTCAACATAAATTTTTGTGTTATAATCTTTCAACAGACTGGCGCCTATGATCAAGAGCAAGCCACAACCATGAAACTTTACATTTGGCGCAAAGCTCTACTAAGAGACGAGTAAGGTGTTATTTTTATTTGAAGTCAGTTGTCCTGCGATCAGAAATCACTAAAAAGACTTGTTATTTTTTTTATGTGATCAGCTGGCCTTCGCTTCCTACGAAAGATCCTCTTATGACTGTTAGGAATACTATTTTCTTCAGAACTGTCGAACTGGCCTACAATCAAGGTGATGTTGCGCATTTTCATGAAGAGTTTTGTTTCTTCATTCATTTGTTTATTGATTATTGAGAAGTGTGTTTAGTAATGTACATGCCAAGGAGGTGTGGTCACCCGGGCTGGCTGGACTCCGGTTCGAAAGGTCTGGGTTCGAGGTCTGGCCTGGTTATTGTGTTCTTGTTCATTGTTTTTGATGTGATTATTGTCTTTGCTGTCTAGGTGTTGAACTCCAAGAGTTTATTCCTTCCCTGGAATCACTGATTGATGGAGAAGAATTGAAAAACACCGGTTTGTCTGAAAACGCGACATTTCATTTTCTCCTCAAATCTGGATACGAACGAATGGAAAGGGCTGCTGTTTTGTCATTATAAATGAACAACTGTTGTTACTTGTAGCAGACGGAAGAGCAGCCATTTAGCTTAACCCAAAGTACTTTAGTTTATTTCCTAATAGTGCCTTCCGACTATGTTGAAAAACTTAAGCGTAGTAATCCCGAGAGTGACTCAGGCGAATTTGTCCTCACGATATCATGCATTTTCAAGTCGAAAAGTGATAAGAAGAAAGATATCTGCCAAGTGACTTTTGGATCTTAGGAGAAAAAAGGTTTATAACTGCAAAATAAATGTAGATAGCTTTTGTAAAGCTTCAAAGAGTAGTTAACGGTGGTAATGCCTGTTTTCCTCTATCAAGTTTACCAGATCTGTTCTATATCCCTTCCCCCTCCCCACCAAAAATAATTTATGACAACTTTTAGAAGTTAGCTCTACAGCTGCATATTAAAGCGCGTAATGTTACGTCTTAACAGTGTAGTGAAAGTGTTTTTGTGAGCGTAACATTCAATATTCGCACCGTACAAGCGCTCGCGCTTGTTGACAGCCGATCCGAACAGTGAATGATTTTTCTATTCTTAATCGATAGCCGAACTTCACGAACTTTGGCGCTATTTTCGGCTGAACCAAACAATAAACTGCGTACGGAACTTACTTAACCTTCCCGCTATTGTGACCCGAAGTAAACAATTACTTGAAACAATTACTTGTTCTCGCGACTCATTCAATTTTCGGCTTTAGTTAGCCGCCAATGTCACACAAACCAAAATTAGTACTGTTTACGCGACTCATCCAACATTTAAACTTACCAAACGTTCCTTCCAATTACTTATTTGCGCGACTTAATCAACATTCGAGTTCTGCAAAAATTACCGCTTTCGTCACCCAAACTAAACAATGAACTAGCTACGCTACTAATTCAACATTCGCATTTTACTAACTTTCGTGAGCCAAATAGGAAACGACCTATGCGACATTTATTAACCTTAAAACTTGATAGCTTATTTTCCCGCCATTTTCGGCCGAACCAAACAGTGAACTGTACAACTCAACCAACATTTACGTCAAGAAATGACCCTCACAGCTGAGGTGTAATGATTCAAGTGATTGCCGGAAAGGAGCCTGGAAATTTCTACGGGATTCAAACCCATTTATCCCGGGGTGCTACTACCAACTGAGCTACGAAGCCAAATGTTGTCAGTGAGTTGTTCGTTTCCGTAGAGGAATCTGATCAATACCTTAGATAAATAAATCAACCAACATTCTTTCTTGACAAACAGTTCCGCTTTTGTCGGTCTCGCCATACAGTGAGGTCTTTGCGCGAGATGTTCAACCTTTGTCTTAACAAACTTTCCCGTTATTAAGCGCACCGCAAGTAATCGGTCGCCTTTTGATTTCCTCGACCACTAAAGAGCGGTGTGAATGTCCTTTCATTTCAAATATCTGTTATTACCGCTTTTGACATGTGACAATGTATACGATTTGTTTGTTTGTCGCACCGCTTTGTTGTTTTGTAACAATGACATCAGAGCATAAATAGGGCCAGTAGTTGCTGTGGATCTTTAGTCAGTGCTTGATGCTATTACTGTAACATGTCTAACATCTCTGTCAGCTCAGCTTTTATGGAGAGCCGTGTTTTTACTTCAGCAGTTTCTCTCGAGAAGCCTGCGCATTCAAGAAAATCACGAAAACCTTTAACCAGTCCTCCAATCCATGTGTCGTCTTTAGTGCCAGTATCCTCGCGGCCAATGACTGATTTCTCCATCAGCAGAATCCTGGGTCTGGAAAGCAACGAAACAGAACAGAAGACAACATCTGCAGGTAGGTTCATTTTGTTTTCATCACTTAATTTAATAAAACGTGCGACAGAACAATTGGACAATCTTGGACAGCACCCCTAAGAAAAATTTCCACAAAGATTGATAAATATCAACGTAGTTTGAATTTAGCTGCATAGGTAGCAGAGCAAAGCTCGTTCCAAAAATCTTGCGATAATCCTTTTTTCTCTTATATCCACAACGTTTGTTAATTTATTGATTTCTGAAGGATTTACGTTTTTGCAAGTTGATTATGAAGTATTGAGGTGAGGAATGGTGCACACACCTGTCGTTAATTTGGCGAGAAAAACGCTTTCAGCTTAGGATATTCAATAACGAAGGCGCTTCATGATAAGGGGGGAGAGTCGTCCCTACAGAATCGAAATTCGAAAGATCTCTTGATCATACTGAGTGACTGATAAAATGTCCTCACATTTACAGGGGTTATTTAAAAAATTGCGAGCTCATCAAATTGAACTTTTCCATTCTTTCAACAGCTTTGACTGTGTACAACCGCAACTCCAGTCAATCGTTGAGACCTGAACGCAACTGTAGCAACAGTAGCCCACAATCATCTTCTTCCGATTATGCCAACTCCACCAGCGATTGTGACAGCGAACCCGATCGATTCCCGACGTATTCTGAAAAGAGGACGAAAAAGAAACGACAGCGTACGACTTTCTCGATGTTTGAAGTATGGGAACTGGAACGAGCTTACATGAAGCGGCCATATTTGATGCCGGAGGATGAAGAAGACCTGGAAAAGAGGCTTGGGATCACAGCCAGGAGTCTGAGGGTGAGTTACAAGAAGAAATTTTAATTTACACCGATTTATAGAGATGCGCACACTCAGATTGGTCCAGGATTGCGTCATATCTCGCTATGATCGCGCAAATAATTTCAATTACAACAGGGGCGCTAAATTTCAAAATGGCTGCCTTGTGTTTTACCGGTGTTACCGAAGAAGTGATGAACGTGAAAAAGAAAACTGAATTCCGAAGAGCGCAAAAGCTGCTATTATGTTTGGAGTGACACTTTTTTAACAGAAGGATAAGAAGTTTTTGTTGATTTAATAGAATGAACCCATCAGATTCTAATGGAAGCTGGCTCTATATCTCGATACGAGTAATCAAAACAATTAAAACAGAATTTTTTAACATCAAAACGAATATTTACAACAGAATTCGAAAGCACCTTGGTAATTGTACTAAAACAATTATTCCTCGAAGGCTCGGTGAATATTGTTGAATATGTTGTGGATTAGTCGAAAAATATTCACTTCGCCTTCAGCGAATAATTTGTTAAATGATTTTAAAGCCTGGTAATTAACCTTTCCTTTTTCCTTTTTCGTTTCAGTATTGGTTTCAAAACCGACGAGCCAAGTCACGAAGAGACGGGAAAATGATAGCGTCAGACTTTCAGAAAAACCCGTCAAACCAGTTTGAAAAGCCACCACAGACCTTGACCCAGTCCCCTTTAAATTGCTGGAGGCAGGCTGACCGTCTTTCTTATCCAGGGACGGGAAACTTCATAGGGAAACTGAATGCATACAACCGACCAATCAGAACTGGCAATGGACAGCCGTCAGTCAGGACAGACCATTTATCTAAGCGTTCGTCGTTTTTCGTGCCCATGTTCCACCCAGACCAGTTCCGAAGAAGACATGTTGCACTAATTAGACCAGCGGACAGCCGTGGTTCCAAAAGATACCAGCCGTATTGAGGTCTATTTATTGGTGTTAATATTTCCTTAAAGTTGAATTTGTAAAAAATTGCTGTTACGGTGTAGTGTGAGACAAATCCCGTGCAAGATTTCGGTTGTATTTCCTACAATTAATCATTGAGGTGTAGAATATCATATAAGATTGTTAACTTGTAAATAAAAAAGTTGAATTTATAACAGTTGCCTTTAATTTTCTTGTCTTAATGTAGAAAATGAAGATATTTTATAAACAAAAGTTTAAGAAAAAAATAAACTCTTAATCACAGCAAAAGACATTCATCCAATTAGAACAATCTCCTAACAATCTCCGTCCTGTCGCTTAGCAGTCCTGTCAGCGGTTAAACTCGTGAGACTTCCGTAGTCAACTCACTTCTGAGTGACGGGTCGAATAAAGCAACTGTAGAGAAGATCAATAAGAGCATAGCCTGGGACTCGATTCCTCCTAACTCGCTATTCTAAGATTTAACATGTGCTTAACAGGGGAATCAATATGTAACGACAGCAATTTACAGCTATAAGTTTAAATTATTTTACCATGCAGACAAACTGACGCACAGTTCTACATCAACTTTGTTCTGCTATTTTTTGGCAATGAATTGGGCGTCCTGTTTGAATCCTGAATTAACTCAAAGACAAAGGTGCCGTTGACAAAGTATTTTATTTTTCCAAGTCAATTGAAATTCTGCCCGGAAAAATGCAAATTTGTTCCTTTTGCAACAGTATAATGCAAAGTCTTGGTGCATAATTTCGTTTATTGTATATACCTTATTCTGATCTGAGGGTAATTTAGTAGTAAGCAATTAAATTTGCGCGAGTTACTTAGTGATAAATTCAAAATGGTGATTATTGTTGAATCTAGCCATATTTTCAGTTTTAGTTTCAGTTATTAAAATGCATACAAACCAGTTTCACCTTGAACTGGACGCTTACTTCATATTTATCTTCAAGATGGGCTTGTTAAGGCTGAAAACCTTCTTCTTGGGTCTGTTCATCCTTTCGGAAAACTTTACAAGCTGTGCGAGAGGAAAACTGTTGCAGAAATTACTTGTTTTTAGTGTGGCTTTATTTTTTGTTCTCGCCCACATCTTTGTTAGACTCTGAATTAACATTATTAATATTCTAGTTTGGTATGAAGCGACCAAACTGTTTTATTATTGGTCGACTTCACTGAAGCAATTTGTTATTTATCGCGAAAGACAACAAGAGATTAACTCAAAGTACAGATGTCTGTTTGAGTTCTACTGACTGGAGCCAGCTTTGGAAGGAAACATGGAAAAAATATTTGAAACAATTATCATTCTTTGAAAATTGCCAGGTAAACGAGTTCTGTTTTATGTGCGCGCGATTTTTTCGCGTTGAAATATAAACTGAGGTAGACGGGCCGAATCATAGGTCGAAGACACCAAACTCTGCTTTCCTCGCATGATTTGACTAAAAATACGGAAAATTTGAACACCAGGTGAAAATAAATGAATCATGTTACCATGTGGAACGAGATTTAAAGGAACAAAATTTCTAGGCCAAAAAAAGTTTACTACCTATCTTAAGCACTGGAAAATTGAGTCGCACGACATAACTAATTAACAATTTATTTGAAATAAGCAATAGTGCGCTCGTTTTTCTTTTTTTCCTCTTTTTTTTTATTTAATTTTACTGTCTAGTATCAGGGATTAGATCGACCCGGCGTGATTGAAATTTCAAACAAAGGTCTTGAATTGAGTTTCAGGCTTGTCTTCCCAAGGGAACCGAACCGCCCGTGTTTGTCTCAATCTTTTTCGCGTGTTCGATAAATTATCGAAAGAATGATTCACGATCAACTCATGCAACTAAAACTATGATGAGAAATGAAATAATTTGAGTTAAAATTTCAGCGATGTATGATAATCTGTTATGAAATTCTAACATCAAAGACAAACAGCTTGAAAAATTTCAAAGATCTTGATATTTTTCGTTTGCCAGACTTATTAAACACAGTCTACTTATTATTTAAGAAAGTCCAGTCAATCAAAGCAGAAAAAGAATACGATTTATGTTTTATAAACACAAGGAAACCCAGTCAAACTGGGGTTGGTTCTATTAAAAGAATCATTTTTGTGAGTGATAATACCGATGGTTTTGTTGAGCGTGGGGCATAGTGCAGATTAGCTCGTGATTGGTTATACAGGAACAGTTGTTCTCCACATGGGCACTCGTTAACTCATTAGCAGTTGGATGAAATGAGTTTGGATTCATATTATCATCAAACATCGGTCGTGATCAGTTATACAAAAGGGTTTTTTCATGTGGTTTGCAAAGGTTGAGTTTTATTTACCTCAGTGACGCCTTCGATATTTCCATATTCATCACCAAATATTTTTATTAAAACAAAGAAACAAAGAGATGAATTACAAACTCAATTTTAAAATGAAAACAGTGACAAAAAGTGATTGAGCTGATAACGTGAGATATTTTTCTGACCTCGTAATTTGATTTACGTCCACTGTTAAACACCAGTACATATATCACCGCAAATGGTCTTTTTTGTTTTCTGTACACGCAAATGTTCGCCCGCGTTCAAAATGCTGATATTTTTAAAGTTTCCATCTTATTATAATT